ATAAATAGCCTTTAGGTGAATTCACCAACCACTAGAATGCAAAAAATAAAATAAATATTACTCCAAATTTTACATAAAGACCACTCATCGGTACTTCATTATCAATCTTATTTTTTGTCATCTTCCCCTTGCAGATGAGAAGGGACAGGAAAAGAGAGAGAGGAGAAGGGAAGGGTATTGGCTATTATTTTTATACTTCTGTACTATATGCAAATCACTGAGGAGTGTTTAGAATCACGTATTGATAAACAGATTTCTGAGTGTTCTGTCATACTGCTTTAGGTTTACCCAAAATTATAAAATCCGTCCACGTTCTCCTTGCTTGAGCTGTTGTTAACCTTCATTCAGAGGAGGTGATGCCAGCTGGAAGTCTCTGAGCCACACAGGACTTGCCAGTGTCTTGATGAGGGTAACTGGTTTCATCAAACCCATCAGTAGGATGAGGTAGCAATCCCATATGAGGGGTACAACGTCCTGAGAAGATACTCAGCGGACAACCAATTCACCAGAGAATATTCTCAGGGCTAGTTATTTTCTAAAGAAACCAGAATTGGAGTTGAATTTATTAAATGAAGTAATATAAGAAACCTAGGTTAGTGATTGATTGGCATTTAGGAAAAAGATATTTATCCTATAACATTAAAGCCCCCAGCTACAGGGAACCCAAAGCATGTCCTCTTGTTGTCTCAAACAGTGCTACAGCTATAGAGCAGCATCAACACCACAGGAGAGAAATAGGGAGCAGAGAAATAACCTTCCCAGATAATCCTCCTGGAAACAAAATTCCCCAAATTCAGGGGCCTCATTTTGGTTTTGTTTTTCTTTGGCAGTGAGACTATCTTGGAGGTGAAATTATGTAAATTTAGATAACTGAGTAATGGCAAACTCTAAAGAGAAGTGGTAGCAATAAGGGATGGGAGAGGTGGAAGAATAAAAATAAACATGCTAAAAGTTTAATATTAATCTTGTCAGAGTAAATGACAGATTTGGAAAAGCCAACATATCTACCACCTTTATTTTAAAGACGAGGAAACTAAGACCTCCAGGGTTTGAGAAATTTACCTCAATGCATACCAGTAACCTCTGGAAGTTCTCAGTCACTTTTAGAAGTTTCCTGATGCCTAGGGCATTTCCCATTGTGTTGACACCCACTGCCCAATCTCTGCTATGAACCTTCCTTGCTTACATCAAATACCTGCTGGGACCTGGGACTGTTCTCAGTGTTCTTAAAGGGCTCTCATTTCCTATAATTCCTAGGATTGTGTGTTTAGGGATGATAAAGATAATTGCATTGCACAGATTTTCTATCTCAGGTGGGTGGAGTAGCTCAATCAACCCATGGCTAAACTTTACCTTTCTGCAACATTCTATTTTTTTTTTTTTGTACGGGGGATCGAACTTGGATCCTTGTGCTTGCGAGGCAGGCAGAACCACTGAGCTAAATCCCCGGCCCCAACATTCTATTTTTAAAGAAAACAGTTGCAAGTATGATTTCAAAAGAACCTTTCACTGATCATATTAAAAAATGATCATAATAAAATGAATACCTACATAGATACAAAATTTCATTTCTGGTACTCTAACTTGCATAGAGCTGCATCTTCTGTTTTTCCTCCTCATCATCACTCTCCTAAACTTCATTTATCCCTCTATCTCTCTGCACAAGCTCCACTCGTTGGTATATATGCTCAACCAGAATAGGGTTCTCCTGAAGGTTACAATCATTGCTTACCTATCTTTTTATTCACTTCACCTCAATAAACACAGCCCTTGACATATTGAAAGTATGTAGCCATGGTTTTGGAATAAAAGTTTGACACTTTGACATTTATATATAAATAAAGTTTTTAAAAAAACTTTCACGTTGAGTATAAAAATACTAGGAAAGATGTGATATAAAGGGATGTTAGAAATTACCAAATATGGTTATATTTTATAGTGACTTTTATAGATGAGGAGACTGAGATCAAGAATAAGTGGGTAGCTTAGCATCACCCAGCCAGTTGCAGCCTGATGGAGGCTACCCACCCAGGTCCCCTCTCTCTGTCACTCCCCTTTTCATTTCACTTCATGCAATATTCCCTAAGTGTGAATGAAGCCACTTAAATCTAAGTGATTCTTAGGAAAGAAGAAAAGTATAAATGCCTTGATTATACACAAGAACTTTGACACATTTCCCTCTCAAGATTCAAGTTTCTAACAGTACCTGGCACAAAGTAGGTATCCAGTAAATTTGGGTTACTACAATTTTTCTTTCTTTCTTCTCATCAAATTTATATATCAACCACTATAAAGAACAGTAATATAGCAAACAGATAGGTATCATCTCATGAGTCAAAGCAAGGATTGTGATAAAGCCACCAAGGATGTTTGCAAAAGCTAATGGTACTGACCCCAAGGTTATTTCCATGTGGATGATGGATATGCTACCTGAAGGCATTCTTAAGGAGAAATGGAGATGCCACCATGAGGAAGTACTGAGATGGTGTCACCATTGTATGAGGGACCACATAGACTTCCTCATGCCAAATTCCTTCTTCCTTAGCTAGATAGAGCCACTAGGAGAGACTCTTACTCGTTTGTACACCTCTTTGTGATATATGAGCTGAATCCTTAAGACAGTGAATTCTTTGGATACTGATTTCTATAGATACAGGTTTCCCTCATAAGTTGTGCACTGCAGCAAAGTGAGTTGAACCACCTAGAAAACCTGTTAGCTTCTATACTTAGATGTTACCAAGTCTATTCTAATTCTTAAATTTGAGAGTTGTCTTTAATATAACGAAGCCCTTTCAGTCGTACTTGGGATTAGCTTACCACTTCATAAATTCCTTCCAACACCATGTTCTGTGAGTCAACAAGCAGCTTCCCCTGTGATTTGAGCCTGGCTAACAACAAATTAGACTTTGGAAGAATAATTACTAGGCAGAGGCATTTTTCAGGTGGTATATTCCCACTTTGAGGAAACCTGGTCATTTTACTTTTACATTTAAAGGATCCTTTTTGCTGAAAATAACCCAAGAAGATGTTTGAAATGCTCACCTCTGTATCACTGATAGTTGATTTCTAGATTATATTTTTGGCTGGCATAAGATAAAAAACACTCTTCAAAGAGTGTTAAAATGCCATGTTTGAAAATTATTTAGATAATTTACAATATATGCTGGGTAGTAAATTCTCAGCAAACATTTTAACTAGGTTTTTCTTGAGCACTAACAATGGTTACTTTGTGCTCAACACCGTGTAAGGCATTAAAAGGTGCCTTGGTGTAATTGTTTTCTTAAGCTCATGTCTGTTCCTGATACATCTTGGATTTTTCCACCCCTGTCCTAAGTAACTTGATTCAAACAGAGTTTCTCCAAGCTAATTTGCTGAAATATAGTCACCCTTGATTGTGTCACATGGTGTTCAACTGAGTGAGCACTGTCTGAAATCAGCTCAGTGTCAGGTAAAAGTTCTTATAAAGAGGATATAGGTTTTGGAATTGCAACTAGTGAACTTTGGATTTCTGGTGGAGACAAAAAGCGACTTCACTTTATTAGAGAAAATGTCAATCAAGACAACTGACACCCGTCTTTGTTTCACCAGCCAGTAATAAAAGATAAAGCAGAGGAAATGGAGGAGCTGCAGTTATGCATTTGTAACACACAAAGTCCTTGTTTTCCCACTAGGCACTGCAGAAAAGCAATTGTCCATTCACAGTACATCCTCTCCATTTCAGAACTAATGTTTTTGCAGGTCTTAAGTTGGTATGTTACAGTCTTATGCTGTTAATTTTGTTAAATGCATGATGTATTTAATACCTTGCTTAATAGTACTGCTAACATGACCCAGTTTTATAGATTTCTGGTGCCCAATGTTGAGAATAGAAACTTTAAGAAAATCCAGTAGAAAATTTGTGAACAAGGTGATGGTTTCAAATAACCCTGCCTTATTTGCAATTGCATAACTTTGAGAAAGGTAATAAGGAAATCCATGTTGATCATACATTTCTTGAATTCCTTCCACAAAAACTGACTCTGTGGACTGTAATGATTTTTCACAGGGAATCCCTTTGACACACAATCCCGCAGCACTTAGTGTGTTTACATATATGAATGCATATGCCTGCTGTCTGCTGCAAAGGGGTTTACTCTATCCCTGCAATAGTCACTCTGGCCAGACCACAAGAACAGAATTTTTAGATGATTAATTAGTCCCCAGGCTCAATCACTTATATCCCTAATTAAATATCTGACTCTGCTTTCAACTGTTGTCAGAAAAGATAATTAGCACATTCGCAGCGGTAATAAAGTTTTATTTTCCTTTACAAATAAGATGTAAATCACTGGCCATGTAACTCAGTACCTACATCTCTCCTATTGATTTCTCAATTTGAAACACTTTAATATAAAATGCAACAAGGAAATACAGTGATTTTTTTTCTCATGAATATATTTTTCGGACAGCTTCTATCAATATTTTTACCTTCAGTCCCACTACCAGCTGCTTCCTCTCTTCCTACTGATTTCTTCAGCTGAAGTCTGCTATCAACCAACAAGACAAACTCGGAGAAAAAACTCCTGATTTTCCTCTTCATTATTCCACAACGGTCACCAAACACTTTACCAACATTTCCTATCCTGTCCAACCAAAAATAAAAATCAACCAACTCTAGGATTTACACTGGAGAAGAAATATTGCATTCATTTAAAAAGAAATAAAAAGCCCTCCTCAGGGAGTCCTCCAAGTGCAGTGAAAACGCTGGAGTCTCATTACACGGATGGGAATGAAACCCTAGTGCCCACAAACGGTTAATTCGGGTTAAGTGATAATGTTTAGTCAGTTCTCCTAGAAAAAGGAAGGAAATTCAAAAGCTGGTTGCTGTAGGAACAATCACAGACAAATATATATCTCTCTATATTTGTACAGGTTCATTTAAAATAAAATTCCTACCATCTCTCTGTGGCTCTGTTGTTGCCAGAAAAATGAGCTTGCTGCTTAAATTTTTTTGTACATACCTCAACCATTAAACAAGACATTTAACCATAGTGGCAGTTCTGTGACCTTTGAATGCCGTGAAATCTCTGAGCGGTGCTGCTTGTTCATGAAGACTTGTGCTGCAGAATCCAGCAACTTCATCCAGGATTAGGAATACAATTAATTAAAAAAAAAAAAAAAGAAAGAAAGAAACACGAAAGCACACAGAGAGATCAAGAAAGAAGGAAGGTAGAAAGAGAGACTCTCTCTGGGTGAGGACACCTCTTTTCTCCCAGACAAGTGCTGGGACAGAGCCGAGCCTGCTGCAGTGCCCAGACCGACCGACTGGCTGGGTGAGCAGGCAGCCGGCCTGTGAGGCTGGGAGGTGCTGTCAGTTGCCACAGGCAAGGAAAAGCAGAGACCAATCGGCTTCAACGCTGCCAGCTTACTGGAGTGGAGCCTTTTCTGTTTATGTTTCCTCATTTCAAGAGTGACGTCAAAGGGTTTAGTTTTCCTCTGCATGTGCTATTAATTTTAAAGTACTGTACTATGGGAAGAATGTGTGTGTGCCTGTGATTAGCCAGGATGCCCCACTCTCAGGCAAGCTGAAGAAACATTTTCTATATTCAAGAATACATCTAAAAAATTTAAAATACCTTGTAGTTAGGTGTATCAGAATTTTAAAAATTAAGCCAAGAACGCTGAGCTAAATAATAGCAGCAAGATTTATATTTTTTCCATGTGTATGTACATGTGCCCACTTCACAACTGTTGCTTATTTTTAAACTTATTTATTTTTACCCTTACCTAAAAATGAGTTGTTAATTAACCCCGATAGTCATGGACGCGAAATTGCACAAGTGAGCTGGTGAGCCATATTATGTGCAGGCAGAAATAGAGCTCACGAATCAGTGGCTTCTGGTAGTCCTTTCTTTCTCCTTCCTGCAGCTTCTGGGTGCGGTGCAGCCTCAGGATTACTTACACTAGGGGGATCGCTTCTACAATGCCACAGGATTCCTTCAAGAAGCAGGACCTGATGAGGCCATACAGACATGCCTGGGCTATTGGCACGTCCTCTTCCAAAGTGGGTGAAGGTACAGTTATTTAAGGATATTTCCTCCACCAGGGCCCCAGCTTATTCCTGTGTTTTCTTTCCCACTCTGGAAAATCTTTGTGGTGGCCATCTGTTGTTTCTGCCTCCCCCAGGTCCTCCTCCCCTCTCTCCCATCCCCACCCTGAATCCTACTAACACAAACTTTTCCCCTTTTTGGGAGCTTTCCTTCTCTATCTATGATTTGCATAACCTTCCCCACTAGCCTCGCCCTAGTGACCATAAGGGAGCATGTGACCCAAGCTGGCCAATCAGATGTCTCCACACAGAAAAAAAAAACGTTTTAGGGTCAGGTACAACACTCTGTGAAATTAGGAGTTCTTTTTCAGGTATTTTCATTGATTCTTTAAGAGACAAGGTTTTTATATCTAAGATTCTAAATGCTAGGGTTAAAAGATCCTGTGGTTTGGGGGTTCATCTCCGGTGCTGATGATTCAACAGTAAAGGAACAGTATTTTCTCCCAGGGCTTTACATTTTGATAAGTGGGGATAAGGTAATAAAAATAAGTAAATATATAATGTCAAATGGTAATAAAGCCACTGAAATAAGTAAGTTAGGGGCCAGAAGGGTGTGTGTGTGTATGTGGGTGTGTGTGTCTGCTGTTTTAGGTCTAATGATCAGGGAAGCACTCTGTTGAAGTGATTCTGAGCAGCGTCCTGATCTGGGCAAGAAGCAGGTCATGTTATCTCTGGGTTCTAAGTAGAGGAAACAGAGTCAAGGCTCAAAGGCAGGAGGATGCTTAGCATATTCAAGGAATAGGAAGGAGAATTGGGTGGCTGGAAGAGAACAAGCAAAGGAAGAAATGGGTACAAGGAGGTTTGTCTGGGACAAAATCAGGCCACACGAAAACATAGGCGGTGTGTTCCTAGGAAGGAAAATGTATCAGAGTATTTAGATCTGAGGGATACTCATAATCTAACATAATTTCCAAAAGGATTTCTCCCTCTTCTGTGTGGAAAATAGACAACTGGGGAACAAGAGTAGAACCAAGGCGACCAATAATGAGGCCACTGCAATAGGTAGGTAAGAGACATCATGCTTTGGATTTGCAAGAACAATGTGGACAGTGGGAGAACCAGATTCTGGAAGATGGTGTTTATTTGGAGATAGAATTTAAAGATTTGATGTGTAAAAGAGAGGAATCAGGAATAATTCCTAGGTTCTAGGCTTGCACAATGGATATTTATTGATCATCTGCTTTATATCAGGCACTGCTGTGCATGCTGGGGATAAAACAGCAAAAATATACACACACATGCATATGCACACACACAGACACACTTCTCTGTCCTCATGAAACTTAAGATTCTTCTGAGGGGATAAAGAGCTTTATCAATAAATGTGAATTTTACATAGGATATTGGAGGGTTAGGAGCATTGTGGAGAAAAAAATAAAAATAAGGCAGAAAAGCCACTGGACAGATAGGGGCTTGTGATCTTCAACGAGCATCCAATGAGAGTCTCCCTGAAAAGGTGATATCTGAACACAAATTTGAAGTAGGTGAGGGAAGAGTAGGGGGAAAAATGTTAAGAAGCAAAGGGAACATAAAGCACAAAGGATCTGAGGATGAACTGGCTGAGGAGACGGCAATGGGTGGAGAAGGGACAGATCACATGGGGATTTCTAAGTCACTATTAGATTTTAGCTCTTCCTCTGAATGAAATGGGACTTTGAGCAGAATACTAAAGAGATGACTGACTTGATTTTTTAACATGATCTCTGCAGCAGCTATGTGAAGTCAAGGTGGAAGGAAGGAGATTTAATAAATGGTCCACAACAATAAAATAACCAGGGATCATGGTGATATCGACCACAGTGATTTTGGTAGTGGCTAGAAATGATCAGTTTTGGCTGTATCTCAGTGTTAGAAACAATGAGATTTGTTGAATGGATTGGAGGCTAAGTATAGGGAGGGAAATTAGTGAGAGAAGCCAATGTCCTCTCCAAACTTTTGGGTTCTATCAAGTGGAAGGTTGAACTCAGGTAGAATTGACCAACAGACTGTGGAATAAAAGATTTTATTGAGAATATAGTTTGATATTGAACATGTTAATCTTGCCTATGAGACATCTAAATGGAGATGTTGAATATATAAGCCTGGACAGTTCTAGGATATACATATAAATCTTTAAGTCATTGCATATGGATGGTATTTAAAGCCACGATACAGGGTGAGGTCACCAAGAGAAGTGCAGATGGAAAAGCTGCAGACAGTCTATAATTAAGTCATTAGTAATATGAGGAAGAACTATCAAGGGAGACTGAGAAGGAGCCTCCAGGAGGTCCCAGAAAAAACAAGAGGGTAGCATCTTGGAAGACAAATGAAATATTTCAATAATCAACTGTTTAAAGTAAAAGCTAGATGAATACTGAGAATTAACCCTTGAACTTAGAATGTGTAATCATTTTTGCCTTTGAAAAAAGCAGATTCAATGAAGTAGAAAAGGTGACAAATGGAGAGAGAATGTAAGAATTGGAAACAGAGAATATAGATAATTCTCTCAAGGTGTTTTCCCCCCAGAGAACAGAGAAATGAGACAGTAATTAGAAAGGAGAAAAGAGCCAAGGGAGCATTTTTAAGATGGGTGAAATATCAGCATTTTATACTGATGTAAAAGATTCCATTGAGAGAAGTAATTAGTCATGCAGAAGAGAGAGAGAGAAATTGCTAAAGCACAAATGATGCATGTGATAGGTGGAGTAGGCATCCAAATATGTCCACATTCTGATTCCTGGAACCTGAAAATATCCCACATTGCACAGAAAAATGGAATTTGTATATATAGTGGAAGTTATGATCTTAAAATAGGGATATGTCTCTTTGGTGTACTCAAAATAATCACATGAACCCTTAAGGGCTGACAACTATATTTTGGATGGAAACAGAAGAGAGATACAATAGAAGGAGAAGTCAGAGATTCCAAATTTGAAAAGGATTCAGCACACTGCTATTGGCTCAGAGATGTAGAGCCATGTGCAAACACCAGAGAGAAGTATCTCAGAGCACCTCCCTTCCCAGCTGACAGCAGGGAAAGGAGCATCTCAGTCTTCTGATTGTAAGGAACTGGGTTCCACCAACAGCCTGAATGAGCTTGGGAATGGATTCTTTCTTCCCCAGAACTCCAAAAAGGAACAGAGCTCTGAGGACACGTTGCTTTCAGCCTTGTGAGACTCTAAGCAAACTTCCTAGCCAAACCCACAGAAAGAAACACAATCTAATAATTTTGTGTTGTTTCACAGGGATATAAAATGAACATAAAGTGAATGGTATGAGAAGGGAGTACGGATGGCTCATACATAGACACAAAAGGGGAGGCATAGTAAATGATAAAGGTGCTGGCAAGAGTGATGCAATTATTGTGCAATATTGTCAACATCCTCTGTGTCATGTAATTTCTCAGTGAAACAGGAATTAAGAATACTGGCTAAAAGAGGATAGGTGAGGTGGTACAAGTGTTATGAGAGAAGATACAAAACAGTCATCCAGGAGCCAGGGATTTAGCTCAGTGGCACCGTGCCTGCCTCGTAAGCGCAATGTACTGAGTTCGATCCCCGGTACCAAAAAAAAAAAAAGTAGTCATCCATGAGAAACAGACAGAGTTACTAGAAAAGTACAATATGATGGCCAAGAACACTAGGCATGGCCTACTTGAGCTCAATCATCATGAACTAAAGTGACACTGGATAGCATGTCACTTAGAATGTCTGTAGACATCCAAATAGAAATATCATGGAGGTAGTTTATGTATTATTCTAGAGAGCTATGGATAGATGAAATAGAATTCAAAGCCATGAGAGACCCAGGATCACTAAAGGCATAAGAAGAGATTCCAAGACTAAATTTTGGGACCCTCTACTAGATAATGGAAGATTGAGGTGGATCCAGAAAAGGAGACGCAGCCATAAAAGAAGATGAACAACCAAGATAATGACCTCTCAGATGTCAGTGCTATGGATGGAACTGCATCCTGTCCCCACTGAAAGTCATATGTCAAAGTCCTTACCCTTAGTGAGACTGTATTTGGAAACAGGGCTTTTAAGGAGGTAAAGTCAAATGAGGTCATAGCAGTGGATCACTTATTTAATATGACTGGTGCCCTTTGAAGAAGAAGAAAAGACACTGCAGGCCCTCACCCTTCCATTTGAGATCACAGAGCAAAGTCACAGTTTCCAAGCCAGGAAGAGAGTCTTCACAGGACACCAACTTTGAGGGCACCTTGATCTTAGACTTCTAGTCTCCAGAACTGCAAGGAAATAAGCTTCTGTTGTTTAA